GTTTCAAACAATTGTTACTATAGTTGTATTTTAAAAACCTGGGACTGCAGATGAACTTATCATTATTGAGATAACTCTGGAACATTTAAACGAATGTTAAAAGAAATAGATTCATTCTGAACTCCTCTGATTCCATGTATTTTATTTGAAATTCTCACGGCGTTCAAAGCTCCTTGCTGCAGTGGTACATGTTATGAGATGGGTGGAGAAATGTAGGCAGCAAAACAGAAAATGACAATGCAGAAATGAACTGCCCCCCCCCCTTAATGTGGGCTGTTTGTGATGCAGTACCTGTTGGGTGCTGGAGGCAGTGTGTCTGGAGGTGGTGGACATGCTGCGGGGGGTTTTGATGAGCTGCGGCCCATGTTATTATCAATGGGACCAATCCTGGAAATGGACAGCAACATGCAACGTGATGATGACTCACAGCTACAGCGACTCTATTGGCTGCCATTGTCAGAGACGAACCAATCCAAACCAGAACAAACAGGACGAAATCGAAATCTACTCAGCAATGTTTGGCCCCAACCGAGGCTTACTTTATTCTTTTACATGCAGTGTTATGGGTTACTATATGATTCTAATAGACACTGCTCTTTTCATAGACTGTTGTTTCTTTATGTGGAGGAAGACTATAGGGGGGAAATACAGGTACAAGATGCCACCTGCTGGTGAACTGGAGGTGTTGCTAAAAGCTTCACTCTCACCAAAACCCTGCTGGACACTATTCTGGTCTTTTGAAAGATTTTTTTTTAGACATTTATTTACAGCTGGGATGAAATATGAATGCAAAGAAAATATTCCCCGTTGTGATAATAAGTCCATGCTGGTGCTGTAACCGGTGCTTGGTTGTGACTTATATCCACACTGTTATTGAAGGACACCAGCTTCTGTATGATTGCAACAATTTGCTCTTAACTAGAACTTGAAAGGGACTGAACTCTGGATGAAAAAAACAAACACAAAAAATAACTTTCTTTCTCAGATTACGAAATGCAGGAATTGTGGCAGACCTTGGAGGACTTTAGCTCTCTCACACACATTCACACACCTCCTGTCTCCTGCAGGCCGGCTGGGCTTGTTGCTGTCTGCTGTGGGCTCTTGTTGTTTTTTTGCGGGAGTCGAGGTTTTGGCCGGCATCGGGGGGAGTTTTTGGCCGTTCTGCAGACTGTGACCGAGTGTTTCTGCCGCCTGACTGCTGCTCTGACTCACTGAGCTGAGGATCAGAAAACATGTCGAGATCAATTGTGTTTGCTATTATACCTACACTTAATGTATTTTTTGCTTTTCATAGTTTATGTTACTTAACTGTTCCCACAACAATCGAAACAATACAAGGACTTGCAAAGTATCAGGAAATGCTTGAAGATCCGGTGTCTCTAAGTAAATGTGAAAAGGCAGCAAAGTCTTTTCACATAACATTTTACTGTGTATCCGCAGGTGACTATTAAACAAAACATTTATTTCTTCTTCTCTGGGAGTTCCTTCAAATCTCCTAAATCTCCTGAATCTCAATTTTTTGACCCACCTGTTTCTCACATGATCAGTAATAACTCTGCCACACTAAGGCCACACAAGGTCTTATTTAAAGCCACTGGTGGTCATTAGCTAAAATGTCTAAAATGCAACATTTGCCACTTAATGATACTTCACTAACCTTCTGCCTGTTTTCATGCTGTCGTCAGCAGTGCTGATGTCACTGGTCCTGTCGTTATCTCTCCGTTTCCATTCCACGCTCTCTGTGCTCCCCCTCTGTACCGTCCAACCACAAACAGGGAACAGGTAGCTTAACACCCAATAAAAAAACACAGGGTGCCCACTCCAGTAATTCAAACCAATTGACACTTTTTGCTCGGTGTCAGTTGAGCAAGCTTGAACATTCTCCTTTCCTGTACTTAGATGATGCTATGTGCTGGACTCATCTATATAGAGAAGACAAACAATTTTTGAAGATAGTTAAAAGATAAAAGCAACATATATATATAGTCACATTTTAAGTTAGCTAATGTAAGCAAAACAAAACATGTATTTTAGACATAGACGAGTCCAGCACATAGCACATCTGAGTACAGGAAAGGAGAAAGTTGACCGAGGTTCTGATCGAGGCTTGCTCAACTGTTTGACAAAATTGAAGCACAGAGCGAAAAGGGGCGGGACTTCCTGAATTGATACAAAATCAATGCATGCGTCCAACAAACTATAACCAGTCAGTCACTCACAGACTGCCTCTCCAGCAGCTGCTGCTTGCGTTCCCAGTCGGCCAGCGAACGGACGATGGTGTCCTGGGGTTCCAAGGTGGAGGAGAGCTCCCCTCGGCTGGGGGAGGGCAGGGCTGAGGAGCGGGGAGTCAGAGGCGTCACAGTCTCCTCTAGTATCCTTCGCTCCTGTTGTGATGGGAGACGTGGGTGAGTTGTCAACAACACGTAAGTATTATCACGGGCTAAGATTATTAGTCAGCTACACTTTAATTGAAACATACACAATTCACACATATTATACATTTAACTTTTAAACAACACTGAGTCCAGAATTAAGTTACACACACCAGATAAAAACTAAAAACCCATCACAGATTCCCTCAAGCGTAAACATTCACACACCTCCTCGTGGTACTTTCTCTCCTCTTCTGCTACCTCCCTCTGCGCTTTCTCCCACTCCTCCTTCAGCTTCTCCTGCTCGCGCCGGTACTTCTCCTGTTACCATGGCAACAGACACATGACATACAGCACAGAGCCTCAACGAATAGGACTAAACTGTCTGCAGGTGGATATTTTGTCAGGAAAAGGATCCACAGACATATCTGGCTTCAAAGGGCTTTGAGAGGCTTATCAAAAGGTTTCAGTCAATGATAAAATTCTCTTCTAGTGCATCCTGCTTCATTGGACTGATACCTGAAAATCCTGCTATAATCGTTGGTAGATTATATTAAATTTCCACGTGGGACGCCCTGAGTATGTACTTTAACTATAAGCCTTGACTTTGAAACATAAACCAACGGATAGATAGTTTGCTATTCTCTTATAGCTAGACACTTGCTCAGACCTGATATTTGCATGTTAGGGATAAAAAGCAAACAAAAAGAGACCAGAAGCAAGCACATGGACAAAAGGCGAAAGTAGAGCATGCAGAGCCTGTGGAGGAGAGGGTTCCTACACAATTTTCATTTCAAAAGCTGCCCGTAAATAAAAATAATTTAATTTAAGTACTTAAGTAATAGTAACTGGGATGACATCCCTCTGCTGCTTAAGATTTGACTCTGTTCAGACTTGTGTAGGAACCCCAAAAGAAGGCCAAACTTAAACATCCAAGAGTTAGAGAGAAAGCAACTAAAGCAAGACAGATGACAGATCAAGATCGAGGCACAGCGACGACGCAGAATCAACTAGGGAGGTAACAAGCACATTGATGCACCAGACATTCATCCATTTCAGCGCATCTCATCTCAAACAGTCCTGCAACAACCGCAAAGCAGAGAAATACGTTCTCTTCACTGACGTTTTCCAGAATTATCTATTAAGACTGCACTGTAGATGAGCACAGTACATCATGGATCCCAATAAATCCTCAAATTTTTTTAAATATGTGGACCTGAGATGCACCTGATTGGTCGAGGAGAGAGAGGGTGATTTGGGCAGCAGCAACAGCAGCAACCTTAGACAAAGTTCTTGTCTGTGTATGAGATGGAGACAGTGAGTGGATAAAACCAAAGTAGAGGTTCTTCCACTGCACAAAATCGCCCTCTAGTTGTCAAAGTGTGCATAGGAGTAGTGCCTTTGAGAAGGATGCTTAATATAAAACAAACATGGAGGCAAGCTTTGCAAGTAGCAATGAAATGTGGTTAATCCATCTGATTCTGAGCTGAGCACTGTTTAATAAACTGTTAAGTATTACAGTTCCAGGCTATATATTTGAGTTAAAACTGGGCTATGTTTGTATGAAAAGTAAAAGTTTTTTAGACATTTAGGTTACATATAACCATTTATTTCTTATTTTCAACATGTAGTAAGGGCCTGTTCACACTGAAATACAGTGGTTGAAATACTGTTAAATGTGTAAATATGCCTAAATATGTTTTAAGCCAGATTCTTTTTATCCACAAATCAACCACTCAGTATTTACTGAGATATAATGTCTCAGCCTAGCTAATCTGATAACAAGTCATCCCAAAAAACATGTGCAAATTGCTTTAAGTGTCTTTGACACGTATTAAATCATGTTTAAAAAAATGTGGACCTGAGATGCCAGTGACTTGCTGTGTCTATCGAAATGCACTGTAATTTAAGACCAATTAAGAGACTACAGTTTTAATTACTAATTATAGTTTATGACCAAAAGCCAAGATAGACTATATGACTACTACATTTGCTAGCAAAAGAAAGGTACGTCAATTCTTTACTTACAAGCCTATGTTCTCATGAAAGGTGAAGCTGCTGAATGACAAAATAGCATATTATCCTGTTCTAACTCAATTAATTGTGCAAATTGGCTAAAAAAGCTATAGGTGACTCCCAAACTCCATAGCTGCTCAGCTAGGCCTCATAATCAGCTAGCTTCACATGCTCATTTAAAGTTATCTTTTTCTCCATGGGCTGAGGTTTGCCTCATCCAATTGTTTCTTTCCCTAGGACTTGTTTGTACACCCCTTTTTTAAAAGTCCATTCTGCAGCTAATCCTGACAGTGATGGTGCCTTGCTCTAAAGGGAATTGAACCCCTGACCTTGCAGACTCATGCGCCATGCTTTATCCTTCTGAGGTATACTGTGTACCTGCAGCATGCGCTCCTGCTCTTGCTGCCACCTTTCCTGACGCTTTCGCTCCTCATCCGGGTCCCAAGACCAGCGGTCACCCCGCCTGGCCTGGGGCAACACCGGGACTGACACCTGATAGACCCCAACGCACAAATACATACATGGCACACCAATATTCATGCACACATTCACATCCACCCACAAACCGACCACCATTCACACACAAACACACAAACACACTCGCACCCAACCATGAAGCCAATGAAAGATCAATAAATATGGCCCCAACACACACACACACACATCAACACCAGTGCGCACACACATCCACCACAGGAAAAGAAGAAGGGAAGGGAGGAGACAGAAATAGTTGGTCTACCACAACAGCACTACTCCAATGCTAGCCAAAGGACTCCTACTAAGGAGAGAGAAGACAGAAAAAGAGACAGATGAGCTCAAAGGAAAATGAAAGCAGTCTCGGCCGTTTACTACAGCATCCTCATCTGGCATGCTACATGAAAGCTCTGTGTGTCCCTTGTGTATGTCCTAGTAGAGCCTGAAATAGGGCTTGATCTCAGAAGATCATCATGACATTTTGCTTGCAAACCACTTAATGGGATTGTAAGATAAGATCATCCTAGTTCCTAAATGTGTACTATTCAGGATGTTGAACACTGCTAATAAATGGTTTAGATGCAGGCAGTACTTTTTCATATTTTTCTTGGTTTTGGTTATGTTTCCATTTAGATGAAAGGCATTTTATGGTGATTTCTTAACTGCAGACTTTCTATTTTCCTGAATGTTATCACATTTTCAGCACTGTTTTATCTCTGTGTACATGCAATATGTTAAACTAAAATACTGTAACCAATGAGATAAGCCAGATGAGAAGCAGTACAAGGGTTTGTCTTACCACAAAATATTATGTAGTCAGATGATGCTTTTTACTCACATTTCCACGGCAATCCTTCTCCGTCTCCTCTGTAGAGGAAGTGTGAGAGGGAACATTAATTAAAATACACTTCAAACATTTTAGGATACAAGTGATCAAACTAAATGGGAATAAATATTTAGGCAAATGACAACACACCAAGTGTTGGTTTGACAACCTAAGGAGTAAAAATGCTGATGAAAAAACACAAAGAGAAACAGTGACAGAAACCCAGTTCACCAAGAGCAACATGCTAAATGGGGAGTTAACCAATAAGTAGTCATAGTAATGATTAGTGTTTAATTTGTTTAATTTTCTAAAAATGTATTAAGCTATAAATTTAAACATTTTCAAAATCACTCTGGGTAGGAGTGATCCAGATGTTGCGGGAGACTTTATGTTCTAGCTTTTGGTGGAAAAGCTAGCAATGTAAAGTTGCATTGTACATAGTTGTAGCACAAATGGGAAACTTCACAACACATTTAAAACAGAGAAAGAGCACATCACTGATCATCCATTCTCTGAAAATGAGTGAAAAAACAACAGATGGGACTGAAGGGCTGTTGTCTAGCCCTTAAAGAAACGACAGGGAAACCCTGTGCATTCAGCACCTGGGGACGGAAACATGAGCTCCACCGATGAATGAAGGGGTTTACCTGGTGGAGCGAAGAAGTCCCAGCGTAACTTAGGGTTGCTGGTTGCCAGTGGAGACCTGATACTGTTTGCAAACTCTATAGCGAAATAAAAAAAAATGTGGGTGGAAGGAGAGGAGGGAGTGAGGGAAGGAAGGAAGGGAGGGAGGAGAGAGGAGTGATAAAGGATAGAGAGATGTCAAAACCAGGAGTTGGTATGGACATCGGGAGAACTGGGGAAGGCTTTTATAATGCTGATCCTGTGATACTGTAGGTTGAATGAATTGTAACTGAAAAACAAATGTAAGTTTTTAAAGAGGTTACAATTTTAAGATGTTTTCTTTCTACCACACTAGAATTTCAAGACAATCCTAACTTGAGGGCCAAAAAGTCAGAATATAAACAGAACAGAAAACAACAACAAACCAGTTCTTTTATTACACTATCTAGACAGGCAATAGTTTACCTCTTTTAGGTATGTTCTTGTTGGATCTCAGGTCTAATTAGCTTGCATACCTTTCTACACTGTGAAAAGTGAAAGGGGGACTTTACTGTAAGTGCCAATTAGAGCTGAACAGATAAAAAAGGTGAAGCAGGAGTCTGTGCAGGTTGCCAAAATAAGATGGGAATAGTCACATTATTGAAATACCCTTAAACTCTGATTCAAACATCTTGCAGTACAACAAAACATAAGTGTCAGGCTGAAAAGCAAAAATGGGAAAAAGCCAGCGAGGAAGATATGCTAATCGAGCTCAGAAAACAAGGAGATGTATGGAAAAGAAGCTACTGGCTTGGTATTTTGATGTGAGGCGTTCACTGACCTGCTGTCTTTTCTATTGGTGGTTGATATCCATCTGACCTTGGTGCAGCTAAGCTTGGTACATTCTCTTTTTCCTGTGACATCTCCTGGGAACTAGGAACAGTTGCCTGCAAGGAGATTCAAAGATTATCCATTGGAAGACTGGGTAATGGTTTCTTTGCATATGTTTGGTGACAAAAGTTAATATTAATCTGGTTTCACCTGTAAAGTTACTGGCTGACTTTGCAGTGTGATGGACCCGGACTGGACAAGGTTGGAGATCAGTTCAGTTTCAGTTTTTTCTTGTACTTGTTTGGCTTCTGAAAACACAAAGACAAAACAAGTGTATCACTCCTGTTAAAATCATATGAAAAACAACACAGTATTGACAATGACTTCCTTTAATATTGTTTTCCTCAAAATTACTTTTCTTCTTCACACTTTCCAAAAATGTTTAGTCAATTTACAGTAGTGCATAACCTGTAAATTACACAAGTCTATGAGCAACCACAAGGGGTCAGCATAGCAGCATGCTGTTCAGACCTGCAGGTGGTGTTTGCTGTTGAGCTGCAGTTTTCGACTTCTCCTCCTCTGGAGCAGCTACTGACTTGCTGCCAGTCTTCCCAAAGCTTTCTTCTGGCTTCTGCAGCTCCTATAAACAATGGGAAGAGATGGTTTCCAAGTTCAATAATGAACTAAACAAGCCTGAGATAAAGAGGCATACGTAGTGCATGAGGAATATGTATAAACAATAGATGTGTAGAGTCAGATTCCAATAATTAGATAAACAAAACATGGCAAAATGGGTCTAAAGACAAAGAGCAGATTACAGCACTAGTGTTGAATATACAGTCTGTAACTTCTGTTAGAAGAGAAAGGGAATGTAAAGTAAATATGTGACATACAGAGGTGTTTTAAGGCTTTCTGCAGCAGTTAGGAGACTTAAAGCAGTGTGCTCCCAAACTGATTTAATTACCAAAGATGTTCAACTTGGGCAAGTTTGTGCTTCTAAACCTACACTCGATCAAACCAACCTTAGAGTTTTCATGAATTAAATATTTTCTGTATGTAATTTAGTCTTGGTAAAAGATAACTGTTTGGTAAAAGAAGGTGAAGGATCACCTACAAAATATGTCTTTCTATCATTTTATTTTGTTGTAATCAACTAAAAAATCTTAATTAGATTTATTAATCTTAATCTTAATCCTGACCGATGGGAGTGAGGTGGGCCGGCTGGGTGGCGTCGAATGCTCAATGACTTTCTCTTCTTGGACGTCCTTAGAAACCGGTTCTGTACCACCTTGAGCCTCCTCGGCCTTTGTAGACACCGGGCTTTCTCCTCCGGTCGAGGCGTGTGGACTGCGAGTTGGTGAGGCTGCTGACGAGGGAGCATCTACAGTGCTGTTGCTGGTTTTGGAAGGGGACGCCTGGAAAAGAGGAGGAGATTCCCGGCCTTGACTCTCAGGCGTGGTGGGAACATCGGCGCTTCCTATGTCGCCGTTGACTCGGAGCAAACCGTCCGCCTGAATCGGAAGAGAACAGGTTTAATATTGGCTTTATATCCACACTGTACAGTTCAAGGAGAAACTTTAAAAGTATTAAAGGTAACATGTCCAGACAGTATGTTGTCCTTTCTTATTAATTATGACCAGTAGATGAATTGGACTAGAGTGTGGGCTGAGTGGTTATTTACATTTCTCTCTAAATGGATATTGTCACACTTCCATTTAATTCCAAGGGATTCAGAATTAATTATTTAATTTAAAATTCAGTTAGCATGAGTAGATTTGCATCTGTATGACATTCGTAATGTCTATTATATTATTTATGACTCACTCTGTTTATAGGCATGAGACATCTGGAGGAAACACTGCTTGAATTTCTGCTACAATCAGGCTGTTCATTTTTAGCAGTGACAACAACCAAAAAATTTAAATAAACCCCATGCTTAAAAACACAGCAACCCCATTTGTGGTCATTAGCAGCCTCTCATCTCTGTTCGTTATTAGCTATTCATCTAGCTCACAACACCATGCAAAACCCTATGACAAAGACACACTAATGTATGTGTGAGGAGCTCCGAGTGAGCGGTAACTTAAGACACAGTCGTGAAGTTGGGTGAATGCAGGCTCTCAGTCTGCCCCCCTACGCCTCCACCTTCTCATCCCTCTCCTAGGAGCCTGTGTGGGCCCTCTTTGTCTGCTGGGAGCCCACTTCACATTGAGAGGGCCCTACTTGTCAACTTCTTAAGTCAATAGGGAACAGAGGGCTCCATTCAAAACCAGGCTCCGCTCAGACTTCTGACAAGACATTCCAGAAAAGCGCTCAGCTCCATTAGGTCTGGTAATAACCTGCCTCTCCCTCCTCGCCACACCAAAACATACGATCTCATTTTGAATATTCCCATTTGGCAATTTCTTCCAGAAGAAAAGGAAATGGATCCTGCTGAGAGTACTTTGAGCTAAATTGAAACATTACATGCTTCTTCCGGTAGGGGAAATCTTGTGTTTTCCTAGAAACCAGCTGGCTCATCACCATGGTGGTTCTGTGGCATTCTAATGTGACTGCCAAGAGAGCTGGAGGGGAATTTACCCATCAGTCTGAGGAGGGCAGCCAACGCTGAGAAGTAACCACATGTAAAGTGGTCAAGACCTCAATCATCCCCTCTGCAGAACTGTTGTGGTTACACTAATCAAATATCAATCATTGCATATATGTATGAAGAGAACTTTATCAGGAACCTAAGTAGAGTCAAAATTGTGCGGTGTAGATTTTGTAGACAGACATTTGAAAAAGGCAACAACCCACATTGCCTTTGGAGAACGCTGTAAAGCATATTTACAGCAGCAATAATGCATTTATTTTTTCTGTTGACCAGTGATCTGTTGACAAGTGCTTCAGAGTCAGTCTCACCTTACTGGGCCATGGATCAGCCACTGTGGGTCGAGACTGGAAGTAAGGCTTGGGGGTCAGCAAAGGCACCGGTTTGGGAGACAGGCCTCGGGTTGATGGCGGCTCAGACGAGCGAGAACGAATCTGAGGCCGCTGGTGTGAGGAGTCTTTGGGAAACTCCTCGATTCGCGCTTCCAGTGTAGACGTGAACTTTGGAGCCGGGGCGGACTGCTGGCGCAGATACCTCATAGGCCCGTTGGGGTCCGCATCAAAGGGGTCTGGGGTCGTTGGGGAGGCAGAGAGGGAGAGGGAGAGAGGGAAGGGTGAGCAGGGAAAGGAGGGATCAGCAGATATGCTGCGGTCCAGGAGCTTTGGCAACTGTAGGCGTTCCAGGACCGCGTCACTGATGGAGAAACGCTGGGCGTAGCGCTGGAGGATGGCTGATGCCTCCTCTGGGGTTCTGGCTCTTCTGTATGCATCCCGCAGCTCCTCCTCGCGACGCTCCCTGTTGAAGAGGGAAGGAGGCACAGCAGGGATAAAGCAAAACAGCTGTGCAAAATGTGAAGCAACTGATATGACACAGTTTGATTTGCATGAAATAAATGTTAACTCTTTATTAGCATTAACTGCTAATGGCTGACTGACCCTGTAAACACTTCATTTGATATGTAGCAATTTGATCTAAACACACATATATGTATATGTATAAATCATACAGAAAATCTTTTGGTGAAAAAGAAATGATGGACTTCATGTTTTCAGGAAATAACTGGGTAGGTAACGCACTAGAAACTCCAAATTTATCAACAATAACAATTGTTGAATGAATCCAACCTACTTGTCCTCCACTATCTCTCTGTAGGTCTTGATGCTTCTCCTCCTCTCTGAGATACACGGTTCTCCTGACATCAACCGCTCCATCATCTTCCTCTGCTCCTCCTTCTTGATTAAATCCTGGGAAATACTCCTCCTCCGATTTTTCCACCGGGCCAGGTCCTGACACACGCAAACAGATTTGATGTTGTTTAAGTTCAAGTGAAAAAAGGCAAGAGGGCATGGCTCAGCAGTGTTGTGATACCTGAAACATTCATGTGGCCCTAGAAAACTGATTAAAGTTGCTTAATTGAGGCACAAAAAAATTATTAGAGCATGTGCTTCGACCTGCAGGGACTAAAATCATTGCATATTACTGATAAACTTCTGACACAATGTAGACAAGAAATACAAACTGTACAGATAAGACACAATTCTACTGGGAGTTAAAAAAATATCATAATGCAGCAGAAAATATATAAGAAATGATCTTAATCAAAATAAATAAATAAATAAATAAATGCAAACTAAGAGAAAATGAAAATACATTAACAGTCAAACAAATCTGACACACTCACATCCTGCCAGTGATCATCCTCTTCCTTCATCTTGTTGTACTGGTTGTGCATCAGTTCATGACGCACCTGACTGTGGGGCTGCAAGACGGCCTCCTCCTCACCACGCATGTCAATCATACTCACACTCCTAAGGGAAGGAGGGAAGGAGAGAGAAACAGAGAATATGGATAATGAAAAACATATGTTGATATGTCATCGCCAGAATATGACACAAACGTTTTTCATGTTTTTTATAATGATACTAGTGATTCCATAAATCGCCTTGTACTGTATGTCGGTGTCTTTATCGGTTTCATGCAGTCAAACACAGTAAAAGCTTTGTGAAGACTCAACAGTGTCAAAAGAGAAACTGAACTGAAAAATAATTCTCCCTTGAGGTGATGCTCCACCCCCAAATCTGTGTTTATACAGTAATCTATGTTTATAGGGTAACAGCAAAGGAAACACATCTTCCACAAATATGTGAAAGATAATAATAACCAAAATAAGACCCCATGAATGGACAAAGGTACAAAAGGTAACTTCATGCTCACCCAGTACATAACTAAGATTTTAGGACCAATCCAACTTTCATTTCAGTTTAACAAGAATCCAACCCTTCAAACAAAACAACAAAATCAAACCTTTCTCCCGCAAAGTACTTTGCCTTTGGTTTGTTCTTCTAAATGATACCATATTATTCCAACATTCAACAGGAAATGCATCACAATAGGTATGTTAAATGTCATATAACGGGACCCTTGAAAATACCAGCTTCAGGTGCAGGTACCTGTGGCAGTAAAGCTTTTAGTAGCATTGTGATGTGAGTGTGTCAGGTGCAACAACCAGTGGGGTCTACATACAGTCAAATTCCTATTACAATTGTTTACACTGCTCTTTATATCTGTTCACTCAGTAATGTTAAAGCATCCATTTAACAAGACAGTAAAGTGCAGCCTTATTGTTAGGAACATGCAACTATATTGGGTGATTGTCAAGGATTTGGGTAAAATCATTATATTCTACAATTGCGATGGTCATTAAAGTCATGGGCACAAATGTTTTTGTTTTAAGACAAAGAAATTGAAGCATTGCCAACATACAAAGGTATCGCTTGGCTTAACATTATGAAAGGAGTGCTATCAAACATTACTTACAGTGCTCACTCAAGGTCAAATGTTTTCTGAAGCCCACTGATCACTGGGTGGACCCGAGTAATGTTTAGCAGGAGAGTGTTTTCAACACAAGAGATGACAGACATGTTATTTTATTTTAAAAGTTTAGGCCAGTGGGGCGGATAAAGGTACAGGTTTAATCTGTACACGTCCCAGTGCAATGCTGAATAACTATCCATTAAATCAAAACTTTTAAAACAAACATGCCTTTCAGTCATACCCTGGTTATGAATCCTCTCTCCTGCTTCATGAAAAGCTGCACTTTTTGCATTAGCTTTTAGCAGCAAAGGAGATTATCATGATGGTATTTTTTAAATTTGTTTCTTGAGTTTGGATGAGATGTTGGATGGGTGGTGGAAATGGTTGTTACATGAGACATGCAGCTGGCAGAGGCAGTGAGGTGACGTTGGAGCAGCACAGTTTAGTAAGTCCACTCCACAGCCACTGCTGCAGGCACTTGGAATAAATCAGAGAGGAATGGGTCGTTGCCAGCCAAAAAGGCAAAAAAGCATGTCCAGTAGATTTATGGAAAAGTAAGGGCTACAGGGACATTGTTTGAAACTGTTAAAACACACGTCAAAAATGTCCAATTTTAAATATCCAATGTCTTTTACTTATTATTTAAATTTAAGTGATACAAGTAGGAAGAATCTGCGTAATTGGAGGAAACTTCTTTGTTTACCATACAAAGAGAACTTTTGTTAAATCACATACAATCATCTTGTAACAAATGTAGTGATAAATCAGCCCTGACTGACCCTACTTTCCCCCAAGTACACCTCCTATACATAGTCTTTACACAGAACATCTAGTCTTCAGTGTGGTTTTGTAAATGAATTAGCCTCATCATACAACTCAAACTTTCCACTGAAAATTCTTTGTGCAGCAGGATAAATTAAAGCACTAATTAATGACATTAAGCAGAGATTTACAGTATCACATGAGGGGATATTTTGGCAAGAGTACACTTCTGTACACTGCATTCTTGTAATTTTTCTACTATTACAAGATGGTGTAAGATAAAGATATTAAAAACAGGCACAAAATATTTGCTCATGTGACCTTTAAGCAAAGAAACATCAAAAAGGAGGAATGTGAAGTTGTTGCCAATATCTGGAGAAAGTTGCTTCAACCTTCGGCAGATTTTCCCACTTGCATAGATAAAAATCCAATTCTGAAACTCAATGAATGATTAAATGATTATTGAGTGGGGCTTTGTTTCAAAGCAGCGCTGGGCCAGACAGCTGAACCTCTGCATGGTAAAAGGACGACTTACTGTGGGTCATCTGACACACTATGTGTGCGGCTGAATCTACAGAAGGCAGAGAGCATGGAGAGAGAGCACAATCACAAATGAATACAAGTACACTCGACAGAGAAACAAGTAATTCAAAACACTGTGATGGAATATTTGATTGTTAGTTACAGGGTAACATACAGTGTTGTGATCACAGCTGAGAATGAGTTAGTTATGACAGATTAAATACAGATTGGGCACCAGTCAAGATTGGTTAATGAGGTTTAAAACAAGTCTGGCTTGTGTCTATGCACAGATTTGTCAGTTTTTGGTTTAAATGACAATCCTCAAATCAAGCACAAGGGGGCAGTCTTATCCATAACACAGCCAGAGCAGAACAGAAGTTTACTGCATCACTGCAAACCAAAAACACTGCTAGAATACTACAGATGCATATGGCAATGATCTTAGAATGCAGCTGACACTTAAATATTAAAAAAATAAAAAAGCTCATGCATCTTTTATTAGACAGCACAAGAGCAACATCAAGGATGCGGCTCTCTTTCTGTTTGTGACCACCACTTGTAGGTTTGGCCTCAACCACAAAGGTCTTCACTCAGTCTTTTTTATGGAGCTGCCTCTGTGATGTTGGAGGGGTGTGAAAGAAAGTGTGGCCTGTGGTTTCTTGCCACAAGAGAACAAGGAGGCTAAATTAAGAGAAACCTCTGTAAATCAAGACCAGATAGACTGTTTTCTCACATGGCTATTTGCTATACGGTATATTGCAGTAAAATATCTATTTGTCGGAATATGTCGGCTTGCATTAAAGCCAATGTAATTTTATTGGCATATATGGAATCAATAATTGATTGGTCAATACTTGATTGATTAAAGGTGGGGCCAGTTGTTTTGGAAAAAAAATGTTGATTGCCGAGTCTCATTTTGAGGCTTGGGTTGCCAAATATTTGTCATATTTGATGACCTGGGAACACAAACGCCATCTGTTGTGCTATGTTTTTGTTTGTTTCCCATTTACAATAACCTAAAGTATTTGACCTGGGAATGAGACTCAACAATCAACTATCTTTCTACAGAATGACTGACCCCACCTTTAATAGTTGGACCAATTTATGCATTGATGAATTGCCAAATAATTTTGCTTCAAATTGGATCAAATTAAATTCAGTGTCCATTGCTGTTATCCCTTTTATTGGAGAGATCAAAGGGTGCAAACTAAAGTCATGCGTAGTAAATCAAAGACCACATTCTTAAAGGTTTTTTCTTCTTCAAACTTCTTAATAACAAGGAAAGAAAAAAATACAGCATTTTCAGAGTTTCCATGCATTCTGTGTACAATAACAGCTGCTGTTTAGAATACAATTGCATTCATGTAATAAAAGGCCATGCAATCTTAAGGAAGTTAAGTCATCCAAATAGGAGCATTGCTGTCTGAGGTCAATGTCACATGCTGAGATTGAGTACTCAAGAGGATCACTGGAATAATAGATCCCTTGATTTTAAAGTTGAATTATGTAGTTCTAGTTCAACACGGTGGACATTCATAAAATGTAGTGTAGTTGCTGGACGGGGCTCACGTTGCTGGAAGATTGCTGTCCAACCAAGACATCCCTCCTTGGGGGTCCTCACTTTCACTCCGAGCCCTTCCCTTTCGTCGGCCTGTATCGGTTGTGGCTGTTGTAGTGGTTGTCACGGCAGCTGGCACAGGCAGGAAGTGGGAGGAACACAGGGTGGTGACGTGTTTGGGAGAGGTCAGCATTTGGCGGGCTCGCTTCTCATCTCGCTCTGTGACTAACGGTGCGCCGGCGATTCCCTTCCTCGCAGGTACCTCCTCCTGCTCTGTCACAGGTGGGTGTTTCCCTGTGATGACGGGGCTTGTTGCAACCATGGCGGTTGCCGCAGTGTTTGCTGCTAGAGTCGTTGAATGGTGGAAGAACTCCTCTGAGCACGAGCGAGCTGGAGTACTGCAGAAAGTAAAGCAAACTAAGACGTACTGCTGCCTGGTCATCATCCTATATCATCAGACAGCATTCCTCTGGAGGAGCCAAAATGGAGGTTTTTGAAGACATAAATCTAAGAAAATAGCATAGCATGGTCCCTTCAGAGCAGAATGAATGTGAAAACAAATTGGACGCACAAAGCCAAAGCAAAATTCACTGAATGTCTTATTGGACTATAAACTCCTAGTCTGCATGGCAGAGAGGGAAAGGCTGTGAAAAAGCCAGGCTTCAGTTCCAGCCCGCTCAGGGTCAGGGAAGGAAGAAGGCCTCATTTCCTTACATCCTGAGGGTGGGTTGCATGTGTTTGTGGGTGGACACAGAGTACAGTTTTGTGTGTAACTGCTGTACATTATGTATAGGTTTGTATTATACATTCAGTGTGTGCAGTTTTGTTCCAAGACTTTGACAGCAAAGGTCAAGTGTGATATTATTGTAAACTTGATTGGGAAGTGTATTTTCTTGGTCCATTGGTACATGCTTGCTTTATTTCTAGATTTAGAATTTTATCAATTCAAAATGCATCATTGTTGATGTTTTTGTCACACAGCTGGTTGAACTTATGAATAGTACTCACCCATTCAAATGTTACATTTATTTTTGAGACTTCTGCCCAAGCTAAGAAACAGTAAACACACCACAATATGGCAGGATGTCACCACTAATCTACTTCTATCCAAACAAGAAGGTTCTTTAAAAAAAGATGCGTCAACACAACTTTGATAAGCAACTGCAAACACTGATATGCTGTTTGTGAAAGCATGAACTCCTGGCAACACTAAAATGCACAAAGTCCAGCTTCGGTTTTCTTCTGGAAAAATACAAGCTGTTTTTAGATAAGAAAACATTGTAGAAATCCCCCTTTTTTCTTGGAATGCAGCAATACACAAGTCAAATTTCTATTGAAAATTATTTTCACTCCCTTGAAACACTGACAATCCAATCAATGGCATATCGTCTGTGCCAGAAAAAGCTGGAAACTGGGGGTGTGACACTAATAACTCTCCAACTGGGCTGTGAATGAAACGTCTGCTGGACTAGGAAATAAAACCGGATGGGGCTAGATTGTGAAATAACAACAGAGACCTAAACTGACATTTTTCAAAAAGAGCAACATTGTGATCACTTATCATTGTGGACTTGTGCACTGTGAAATATCCAACAGCTCATAATCCTCACCTTGTTATCTGACACCAAGTGTAAAATGTGTGACCCCTGGCTGGCCTGCTGGGTAAAGACTCTTTACTTGCTAACTCACCATTATGTTTCTCTAGATAAGAACGCCATTGGAAACGATGATCTGGTAAAGAGGAAATGGGCTAAATGAAAACCCCAGCTGTAAAAATCTGAATTATTTTCTACCAAAGAAACAGTCCTGATGAAAACAGCAAAGTATGTGGATTACCCTGATTAACTGGGACATTGTTTTTGGACAGATGTGCTGCTGCTAAGAGTCATTTTTCAGTGTTTTTCCATTCCATTCATCTACACTGGTGAACATATGATGGTGCAGGCAGGACTCTCAGCAGCATATAGCTTGTGGTGAGATCTGATTTGGGTGAACTAACCCTTTAATAAAAATAAAAAATAAAGTTCAGTTTCAAAGAACCTAAGCTGCTGACTCAATTCATGGCCAACATCTAAAGAATCCTCCCCACATTTAGCATTGGCACTGGATAAAATAAATCAGTTCAGTATTTTCAAACTTGTGGCTCCCTCTGGAGCCAAAAAAACTTTATGAAGTAGCACCCCCCAAGACCTGTAAACAGACTTTGATGTGTAAAATTGTTGGAATTCTCCTTAAGGACAACACATAAAAGTTTAAAAAGAATACCAACAATTTATCGTTAGAAAAATATAGAAAAATAAATTTAAATTCTATAAGACTTTCAGATTTGGTTGATTTAGAGAACTACAAATCAGAATTGAAAAATTGGGCTGCTGATTTGGGGTACTGAGGAAAAACATATCAAGATGAAGACCTTTGCTCAGAGGTGACCATCAGGTGAGTTAGAGTCTCCATTGGGGGCTCTGCATGGGGCTGGGGGAGGTTACAGGGAAGAGGCTCACTGCTCCTCCTCACGCTCGCTGCATGGATCTCAATGCAAGGTGTGGAGGCTCTCTGCTCCCCTTCCTCCTCGTCCTTTTTAGCCTGGTTCTCCTGAATCTGGATCTGGGGTGGGGTGGGGGACAGACTGGGGGTCTCTTCAGGTGGGGCGTCTAAGCTAGGGATCTGAATTGGACTGTTACATCATCCAGTCACACACAGGAAAAAGGAAGACGTAATCACATTGGAGCGAAATAGCAACAATGACACAAGGATGACCACAACATGATAGTAATTAGACATGGGACACACGGATGTGAGGGAAAAGTAGGTTCATACACGGGAGGTAATAGAGGCAAGAAGGAAAACACAATGATAGATACAAAAGGAAGGAGATGGAGAAATAAAAAACAATAATGCAAAATCAATTTATATATGCATATTGATGGAACACATAGCACGACGGATGAAGTTAACAATAGGGGGAATGACAGACTGACAGACTAGCGACACACAGTCACAACACACACACACACACACAGCGATTCCCTAGTTATAGAGAAATTAAGACTAATTAGAATGCAGATATTTGTTTTTTAATTAAATATCTTCAATCTTCTGTGAATACAGCCAAATAATGACACATCCAAACCTCAAAACATCACACACACAGACACAACCACGAAACACAACACACAACACACACACACTGATACTAGAACTGATCAAAGAACATTATGGATCCACTTAGCCAGCAGAAATCTGAAACCTCTATAGTCAAGCCACTGACGATGAAATGCTTAACAGAATAAAATTCGTCCCCAGCGCACTCGCGTCGTGACATGCCAGACCAATGAATGCCAATAAGACTCTTAGACTTTAATCTGCTATGCAGCATATTTCACCCCTTTGCTTCGTCAGAGTCAGAGCCAATGAAAACGCACATCTGGCCTCCATCAGCCACTCCCATATGTACAGTACAGGACAAAGAAAAATATTTAACAGCTGAAACATCTAATTGCAGACATGTGCAATTTGACATAAACGACCCCCTCTCTTCCTAAAAAACAAAACAAAATTAACCTAAAAGGATAATGGTGGGTAAAGTCCATAATTAACAATATATGATATTATCTACACTCATTGTGTCAGTTTGGTGGTTTTTTATCAACTCTGCAAAAACTACAAGCTTTTTATTCCTTTTTTTATATATATATTTGCACATATATTTAATTGCTTTGTGTCTAGAATTGCTCATGCTAAATTAAACTCACAATCCATGCAAGCAAGGGACTAGTTCAACACATAGTATTGCCAGAATTTCTCGGGTTAAACTGCATTTTGGAAGAGAATTCAAATGTGTTGAATTCAAATGCGTTGAATTCTCTGCCACAAAATTCAACAACCTTTTATTTTGAAGGTTTTATCTGCAGCAGATCAATTTCAATCTAAAACAAGGTTGTACATCAGGTCCCAAAAGGACCAATTTATTCTTCTCTGTTCTGTGAACACAGAGGTGGACTTTATAATGTAATATTTGCAGTTGCCCTGCACAACTAATACAAAATAAACACACAAAATATTCAAACCTCCTAAGCAAAATGTTATCACAGAAGTATTGTTGCATCTTTAATTTTCTAATCATTCACAGTCTTTTGCCGTTGTGAAATTGTAATATTCAGCTGCACATGACGTCATCTGTTTAGATTTGTGAACTTTAACGGTTTACAATTGCATTTAAATATCTAAAATAAATGACATTTCTTCCCTTATAATTACTTTAATAGTCTGACTCACCTGAACGGTCTGTCTCCCCCTATAGGGGAAGTGGCTGTACTCCAACTCTTGCGCCCTCCCTCATCTTTATCATTCTTCTTCTTGCGGAGTGGCGTGGGGACGTAACCACTCTGGTTGCTCTTGTTGGGCAGGTACTGGTTGAAGGGCATGGCGGTCCGTGGCTCACTGACAGATGTCCGCC